CCCCGCCCCGGCCCTGGGCAGCACTGCCTGGCCGGCCATTAATGCTGGGGGTGTGTTGGCATCGGTGCAGCACGGAGCACGGAGCCCACGTAGTTCGCCAACCTCCCTTCTCACGAACCTCTTTAGCCGCGGCGAACAACCAGACCCTCACGTTTCTCCTTGGGGGCCGCCCCACCCCGCCCCACCTCGCCCTACCCCGCCCCAACCCACCCCGCCACGGCGTCCCGTGTATGCCATCAAGTCCGGCTTCCCTCACGTTCCCGTCAGCCAGGAGGGCCCCGCTTATGGTGCCGCCGCATGCCGCCCCGCGAGGCCCTCCCGGCAAGGTCCTTCCCGCCGAGGCCGCCGGGGCCGCCGGGGCCGGCCCACCTTGCGGAGGCTCTCCCAGCTGATTGCCCAACTTTTCACATCCCTTCCATCGCGGCCCGCGGTGGCAGGCCGTATGAGGCCGTGGCCGCATAATCGGGGGCCGGGCGGGGCGGGGCGTGGCGTGGCGGGGTGGGGTGGGGTGGGGAGGCTATCAGCCCCCACCTCATTATGGCGTGCCGGGTGGCCGGCATGGCGTACCGCCCCGCCCCGCCCGCCCCTTCACACAGCGCGGCACGGCCCACACGTCCAGCACGCCCGCCACCAGCAATTTCTTCATTACTGGCGGAGCGCCAAAGCACACCGCTGCCAATACAAGCAAACAAAACAATGCTAAATTTTTCCCAGGGAAAATTGGTCAAAGGACATTTTTGCTCTGCTTTCCATAACGTTTGTGAGCAGGCGTAGCTTTCACAATGCAGGGCGTTTTCTCAAAACACTCGTGTGCAGATGGTCGAGCAAGCGGCCTACGTAGTGGATTTAATTTTTCTAAATTTCCTCGTCGGTATGGACAAAGGCAACGCAAAGCACACACGCAAAACACCGGCCGCGGCGGACGGGACGATAACGGCATGCAGGATGAGGAGGGAGTCGAGGGAGACGGACGGGAGCAGCGCGGCGAGAGGGCCGCCCGGGTGGCCGCCTGTGCGACACCATCGAGAGTGTGCGGGTCCACACCCTGCTGGGCGCGGCGGCGCGGCCAGCGCTTCGTCGCTCTGTCTCTGTCGCGGCCCTCGCGCGAACCGCCGCGTTAGCGCGACGGAGACAGAGCGACCAAAGCTCTCGTCGGAAGCAGCCTGTTCCGCCCGGCACCTGCAGCGCAGGCAGCGCAGGGCGTCAGACGGAGAGCGGAGCGCGAGCGAGAGAGTCGCCGGACAGGAAGAGTGTCCCGTGCCGTCGTGTGTCGTCCCCGCGTAACACAATGGAATACTAAGCGGACCGGACCGCTCGACCGTTCCCCCGGGGCCTCGGCATGGCGGCGTCGGCAAGCTCGGCCAGGCCTCGGCCAGGCCTCGGCAGCGCGGCCTCACGATGTGACCACGATGTGACCACGATGTGACCACGATGTGACCACGATGTGACCACGATGTGACCGGAATGTGACCAGCGCAACGGCGTGCATCAGTTGCACGGTAACGGCTTTCAGTTGTCACAGCAGGCATTTGTTGGAGGACAGGAACGACAAGGTTCGAAACATTCTATGAGCAAACAGGCGTCGCATACTTTTCCTGGAATGCCTTCCTTGACATTCGTGTAAACGGTTTTCGGTGCACAACTCTTCCCCGGGGTGCCTGGCGGGTTGGAGCTGTGTGCGGAGCTGTGCTTGCCCAGAAGGATCACTGTCGGCGACAGTCAGGGACTCGGCGGGGCTGGAAAAGACGGGGCAGGCGGCGCCCTTCTCGGCCGACCCACGCGCGTCTCGGCAATTTCCGGTTTGGGAACGTAATTAATTCTTCCAAGCAAAACGAACTTCCGGCGGGACGACGTCGTCGCGGTGAGCGCGCTTAGAGCCACGCCACTGCCTCTTTTCCCCGCTCCACCCTTCCAGTGCGGCAGCCTCGTCAGCGGAAAAACAAGGACCTCGTTGTTCGCAACACATTCCTCTCGCACAGACGCACGACGCACGCAGAGCGCCGCACGCCGCGCTGCACCCGCCTCGCCAGCGCGCCTTGATTGCGGTCTGCTTCTCCATGCGTGAGACTCAGCGCGGCGACACACATGGCGGGGCGGGGCGGGGCGGGGCCTGTTGACCGGGCGGGGCGAGGAGCAAGTTGGGTGCGCTGCAGAGCCGCAAGCCCCCGCGGGGAGGCGCAGGGGGACAGACACACGCATGGGGGGCACCGGGGGCACGGACGTGCGGCGCTTGAGCTGCGCGTAGCCGAGCGCGCAAAATCTCGGATAGCAGCGTGGAGTAAGAGCTTGTGCGCTACCCGACGCCGTGCGCCGAGCCGGTTTTCCTCTTGTGCCTCTCTGCCCCCCTCTGTGGGCTTCCCGTGGCTTCCGGTTCAAACGCGTCTAGTGCGTGAGGCCGGGCGCAGCTCAGCCCCCACAGCGACGTCAGAGGACTACCCGACGGACAATGCCCTTTGTAGTGGTATGTTGGAGGTCAGCACTCCCCAAGCAGGTACCAACGCATCGCGTTTCAAGCGGATCCGCTCGAGAATTCTCAAGAATCCGTGCGATATTCTCGGTATCGTGATACGATATTGACCCATCAAACTCAGAGTCGATATGTCAAACCGCGATACATATCGAGAAAGATCGTGATATCGAAGGTATCAAGATCGATATTTATCGCGACATCTAGACATATCGACCGCAAAAACGCAAGATATCGTGTCGATAAAGCATATCGTGTACTTAGTAATATCGTGATATCGCGATATATCGAGCCCTCGATATATCGATGTGCTTTGAAAACGAATATCGTGCCCCTCGATATCAAGATGATATCGTATCGACCTCGATATCGTGATATCGCACATCCCTATCCGAGCGTACCGTCCAGCCAGTCTCGAAGTCGCTGCAGCTACTGGAGCGTTGGCGTTGGAAACGCGGCTTGAGCCCTGCCCGCCCGAACTGGGTCTCCTGGCTCACGGGGCACTCCAGCTTGGGCCCTTGGGCCCTTGGCAGCGCGGGCACGGTGTCGGCGGGGTGCCGGCTGCGGCGAAGGGCACAATATCAGGCGAGATTCACGCCAAGCCGATGCCAATTCAGTGTCGCCTCCCGATGACAGTTATGTGCAGTGGTGGTGGGGGGCGACTCGCGCCCGAGATTGGCCGCACCTGACACAAGCCCCTTACTGCCAGCTCCAGCCAAGCTCCAGCCAAGCTCCAGCCAAGCTCCAGCCAAGCTCCAGCCAAGCTCCAGCCAAGCTCCAGCCAAGCTCCAGCCAAGCTCCAGCCAAGCTCCAGCCAAGCTCCTGCCAAGGCTCCAGCCAAGGCTCCAGCTCCAGCCGACAATCTCGATCGCCCCGCGGCACCCCCGCCGTGGACCGGTAAACCAAGAAAACGGTTTTAAAAAATCCCCTGAGGCTGCGGGGACACAATAAATAAATTGGAAAAATATATTTTTCATTTAGACCGCGGCCATTGATTGCTGCTGCTCCGATCGCCATCAGGGCAGTCCTCCCTGCAGCGCCGTGGGAAGCGCACTTGCAGTCGGCGCTGCCCCGCGAGGTGCCGAGGCCTTCGGGACTTCATGACCGTCACGGTCTTCACGGTCACTATTTTCGCAGCCCGGTCCGAGGAGCCCGCGCCACTGCTGCAAGTTCTGACGTTACGACGCCCCTCTCCTCTTCCTGTTTCTGTTTTTCCTTTCCGTTCTCTCTCTTTTTCCAAACGCTGCTCCCGTTATTGCAAGGCCAGCATCGGGAAGGCTCCGGAAGGCTGCCGATGCGACAGTGCCACGGCAAAGCCGGTGCCATTGAAAACGAAAACGGCCAAATAAAATCAATTCCGTGCTTAGTCGAGGAGACATTCAATTTGCTGAGCGCACTGGCGGGGCAGCAGGCGGCGGGGCTCGGGTCGCGGGGAGCGCCTGCGAGGTAGGCTGTTCGGCCGCTCGGCCGCAGCGCTGCCCCACGGGCTGCCTACCCGGCGGATGGCGGGCGCTAGCTCGGCGACGACGCAGGCGACGCGACGCTGCTGAGTCGCTAAACAGAACTCCAACCGAGCGTGTGACTCTACCAATGGACTCCGCGTTCGGAGACGAATCTATTGGTGGGGTCACACGTTCGGTTCGAGTCCCCTTTACCGACTCTGGAGCTCAAAACGCACCTCGAATTTCGGTCGCCGCCTCCACCGGTCGTCCGGTCCGCTGTGCGACGCGACGCTGCCTACACTGAAAAACCAAACGTGGTCCAGGCCGCGCCGCGTTCTAGACTAGACCACGTTTGGTGGTCTAGACCACACCAAACGCACCAAACGTGGTCTAGACGACACCAACTGATGTGGTCAAAATGGCACCCATTTGACCACACCAGTTGGTGCGGTCTAGACCACGTTTGGTTTTTCAGTGTACCACGCCAAATGCCGACCACATCACAACAGCGACCCGAACGCGGTTCGTGGAACTCGGAGCGCGGAGAAGCCGCCAATGAAACGGCAAACAACGAGCCCTTTGCCGCGCCGGGCCACGCCGGGCTGCGCCACGCTGCGCTTGCGGCGAGGGCGGCCGGAATGGGAACGACGAATGCCAATCGCAGTGCTGTCGCCAGGCGGCATGACGGCCCTGTGACGGCCCGTCACAGGGACGCCGCCATGGTCGCGTCCCTTGACATGCGGGTGCAAACAGAACAAACGCACGCACGCACACACGCACACACACTCACACACACGCACACACACACACACACACACACACACGCACACACACACACAAAAGCGACACATAAAAAACAATTGACTCTGCGAAGCCCTCCGGGGCCAGGCCGGGCCCGGCGGCTGTGAATGGGGATAACGTGAAAACGAATTGATGACTCTCCGTCTGGCGGTGCGCGACATGCAATCAGTCACGCTATTGCCACTGTTACAGTGGTGCTAACTGTACTGATGGGTCCATTGTAGGAGCTCACGCAATGGGGATCCGAGAAAAAAAATCGCAATAATAATAACAACACGAAAGTGTCTCACTTAAAATCCAATATATCCTGAAAAGGGTGATCTTGTCCGTAGAGACACTCTGGACGCCAGCAAGAGCACTTCATTTCCACTATGAATATACGCTGGGCTCAAGAGTATTTGGTACTGGTGATAAGGAGTGACTCTAACGACAAGAAGCCACTTTTCAGGGTGAAACGCAAGTTTTTATTTGCTATTTTTGTGAATACTTTATTGTTGTTTATTGAATCTGATGGTGCTTACCGGCACTCCACTTGCGCGTTACGAGTCCGGCCGCGGTGTTGTCATCGACGAGGACCGGACATCCTCCGGTCCAGGCACTCAACAGGCTCGCGTCTCGTCACCTCGTCACGGCCGCGCCGTCACGGCTCGTCACGGCTCGTCACGGCTCGTCACGTGGGGTGGTTGTGGCAGTCTAGCGCGGTTGGCGGGGGTGGCCGCACGACGTTCCGCTGCTGTTAGCTTCTCTCTCTCTGGCTGCCGGGACTCGACTGGCGGCCCGTAGCGCGGCGTAGCGCGGCGCGATGTGGCCGGGGAGGGAGTGTTGCGCCCCTCCCCCGACCGCGTCCCGGACCACGTCCCGGACCACGTCCCGGACCCACGTCCCGGACCACGTCCCGGACCACCCGGACCACGTCCCGGACCACGTCCCGGACCCACGTCCCGGACCACGTCCCGGACCACGTCCCGGACCACGTCCCGGACCACGTCCCGGACCACGTCCCGGACCACGTCCCGGACCACGTCCCGGACCACGTCCCGGACCACGTCCCGGACCACGTCCCGGACCACCCGGACCACGTCCCGGACCACGTCCCGGACCACGTCCCGGACCACGTCCCGGACCACGTCCCGGACCACGTCCGGACCACGTCCGGACCACGTCCCGGACCACGGCGGCATTTCATCCTCGCGACCGCGAGCACTGCTGCTGAGCCCGAGGGCCGCGGGGCGTTTGATTGGGCTGGGCAGCCAATCAGAGGGCGGCTCTCGACCCCCGACGGAGGGGTGCACGCCAGCCCGCCAGCCGCGGGGCACACCATGAGACTGGAGCCTCCCTTTGACGCAGACCCTGCACGGCCCGAACCGGCACGCCCGCGGGCGCAAGCCGCAGCGCGGACACCCTGGCAAATTTCGCCGACCCTTTGGCTTTCTCTTACATCCCCCTCCTCTGTATGCGTGAATCTTTTGTTAGTTTCTTTAATTTCCGGGTCGCTCTTGACCTGTTCCACAGGGCCTGTGGCCGCTGTCGCTGCCTTGGGGCTTGCTCGCTGCCCGGCAGTGCGACGGGGACGGACGGGGACCACATGGGTCCGCACCGCCCGCCCGAGCCGGGTCGGGCCCGTCGGTCCGGGCGGCAAGAAGTGGCCAACCCGCACGCGCATTCGTGAAACTAGGAGAGAAGAGCGTCGGGGTAGCCGGGCCAGCCGGGCCCAGGCCGGCGGAAGGGGAAATGATTTTTTTCGGACAGAGACAAGAAGTGGGAATGGCAGGACAGGCAGCGGCGGCGCGCTTTGAGGGGAGTGCGGTGACTAGGCCCAGGCCGAGGCAGTACTACCTGGGCCTGTCCCCACCGGAATACGAAGCTGTCATTAAAAAAGAGTCGGCTTCGATCCGCGTCGCCGATGCGCCTCTCAGCAACTTCCCTCCCTTGTGTCTCGCCCTACGCTGTAAAGACACTCCATTGATGCTGCGCGGCAGGGGGAGAGAGGGGGGGGGCTGAAGGACCAGGCCGCGGATCGACTGAATCCAGCGCAGGGCAGGGCAGACCAGGGCAGGGCACGGCAGGGCACGGCAGGGCGCGGCAGGCTGCGGCCCTGACTTCGGCCCTTGCGCTGCCCGACGTCAAAGGGTGGGTGTTATTAAACATCACTCAAGTCGTCGTAATCATTTTACTCCGGCGCCCTCCTAAAAGCCCCGCACAAAATGATTATGGCCCTCCTCTCCCCCGCCCCCCGTGCACATTTTCTTTAGGATCAGGCGGGAAAAGAAAGGGAGCTGAAAGCTTTAGCCTCTTTCTTGCTGCAGCGCTGGCTGCCCGTTTTTCGGCGCGCTTTTCGCTTAGTTCCGGGCCGCCCATTGAAGCCCGGCGAGCGGCCGGCGGGGAGGGAAAGTAGCCGCCTCCGTGTTGGCCCCGTTGGCCCCGTTGGCCCGCGTCACAACGGTCACAACGGTCACAACGGTCTCAATGTGCAGTCCGGCCGGAAAGAAGACCCGCCGCCGTAAATGTTGATTGTTGCCCGAACTTGTCTCGCCAGGGCAAAAGTTTTGTTTCGATGATTCGGTCTGGTCGCGACCTTCCAACTTGGCCGGAACAGCCCGACGCCCAAGGCCCGGGGCGCGGTCCGCGACAGTCCCAGGCAAAAGCGAAGCGCCAGCGAGGGTCGCCCTGCCCGGCCCTGCCGAACACCATTCAGCGCAGCGGGCCGGGCTGTGCGAAGAAGCGCACTTGGGTCTTTCTGCAATTAGGAGCAGACCGCGACTGTAAACAGCGAAACGCACTCCGCAGGGAGTGTTGCTGTTGTTGAATAGTTGCTGCTGTTGTTGGCCGGACTGCTAAGTACTCGGTGACTTAACCAAAGCGCGCTCCAGTACCTCGTCGCTCGCAGCGAGCGCCGCCAGCGCCGCCCCCTCCCTCCACGCCGCGGTACTTTACCGCCTTTAGGGGGACTGCTGCCGAACTGCCCCCCCCCCCTGCAGCACCTCCCCGCTGGACCGCAAACTAAGTGGGGTGCGAGACCCCTGCCATTGTTTGTGGACTGCTAAATCTCGATTCGCGCGGCGCGGCCTTTGGGGCACAGTCACGAACGGCGGCTTCGAAATGAAGGCTTTTCTGTCACGAGGGACTCATAATCAAGAATCTATGAATCTATGAATCGCTGCAGGCACGCCACGGTGGTCAGCCTCCCGCACGCAGGGCGAGCCACATGGCGCTACCCCGCAGCGCCAGCGACTCGCTCCACCTGTTGCAAGGTGTAGCTACCCCACGCCGACGGACAGCGCGGGGTATCGCCGTCGCTTCGCTACGCCTCGGCAGCGGTCCGGCCCGGACTGAAACTGCTTTCTGCACATTGGTCGCCGTTTTGACCAACTTTGAGCATGAGACTGCTCCGAAACTATGCCGAGAAATCGCATTCCGTAACAAAGGTGTCCTAAAGGAAGGCCCGAAGAGTACCCACCCGTTAGGGGAGAACGATTAGCCGCCTTAGATTAGATGCAGTGGCTGCCTAAAGTCAGCCCAAACGGTGATTTCTACACATTTTTTACCGTTTTGACAAACTTTGCTGCAATACCGCTCCCAAACTAAGGCGGCTAATCGCACTCCGTAACAAAGGTGTCCTAAAGGAAGGCTCAAAGAGTACCCACCCGTTACGGGAGAACGATTAGCCGCCTTAGATTAGACGCAGTGGCTGCCTAAAGTCAGCCCAAACGATGGTTTCTACACATTTGTGACCGTTTCGACAAACTTTGCTGCAATACCGCTCCCAAACTAAGGCGGCTAATCGCACTCCGTAACAAAGGTGTCCTAAAGGAAGGCTCAAAGAGTACCCACCCGTTACGGGAGAACGATTAGCCGCCTTAGATTAGATGCAGTGGCTGCCTAAAGTCAGCCCAAACGGTGATTTCTACACATTTTTTACCGTTTTGACAAACTTTGCTGCAATACCGCTCCCAAACTAAGGCGGCTAATCGCACTCCGTAACAAAGGTGTCCTAAAGGAAGGCTCAAAGAGTACCCACCCGTTACGGGAGAACGATTAGCCGCCTTAGATTAGACGCAGTGGCTGCCTAAAGTCAGCCCAAACGATGGTTTCTACACATTTGTGACCGTTTCGACAAACTTTGCTGCAATACCGCTCCCAAACTAAGGCGGCTAATCGCACTCCGTATCAAAGGTGTTCAAATGACTTCCGCACACCTTATTTCTCCTACCGGATCCAGATATTTCTTCTGCTTGGGGTTTCGGTTCAGATCCATCGGAAAGGCCTATTGGACGCAGTGGCTTCTTGAACTCAGCCCAAACCACGATGTCCACACGTTTGCCTTCTGTGACCGTTTTGACCGACTGCGGCGAGTCTGGACTTCCCTCTCCTCCAGCGGCACCTCGTTGCCACTGGAGTCTGCATTGCAGTGCGTCACGGAATGTAGGCCGTGGCAGCCGGTCGCGCTGACCCAACGCGACGAGTCACCAGTGCGTCTGTCCGGCGGCACGGCACGCGGCCGAGTGACGTGTTGGACAGCCTCTGCAGGCCTGCAGCCCGCTGCACTGCAAGAGCGGCTCATGTGCGCTGCAGCGGCCTGCAGATACAGCGCGGGGGAGGGCCGGGGAATCCGAGGGGAATCCCCGCCAGCTGACGACGCACTCCAGCAGAGAGATACGCGGCCACGCCACTGGACAGCCGGACTGCTGGACTGTTGCCGAGAAGTCGCGGGGCTTTGCCTTGTTTTGCAACACTTCGGCGAAGACGCCGTCCTGGCCAGTACCGCCAGCACGGCCCAGGAAAACAAAGGCGAAAAAACAGCCTGCTTAATCCACGGCGCCGGCGAGCGGGCCGTCCCCGTCCAGTCCGGGATCAGGAAGTCGTGGCGGCGCGGCGGGACCACCTGGTAGCGGGCCGTCTGCCGGCGAGCGCGGGGCGCTGCCCGTCACCGGGCCGTGCCGGCCGTGCCGGCGGTCAAGAAGAAAGCAGGACCGGCCCGCGCGAGCCCCAGCCAGCCCAAGCTCATCAGGTCGGAGGACGTCTGCCTCGAGGACACGCCGGGTCACCCGTTTTCGGGCGGATTCGCCTCGGCGACGGGAGGCACGGTGCGGTTATCGCATCCCACATAAGAAGCAGCTAATGGCCCGGAAGCGTGTGTCAGTGTGCCAGCAGGCCCGCCGCCCCACGACGGCGGACTGGGAACGGGACGCCGGGACGCTCACTCGGCCAAACCCAGCCAAACCGAACCACGAGCAGCGCGGCGCGCGGCCGCCAGCCATTTATTTTTTCCCGGTGAATTGGGCGATGTCCGAGTCGCGTCATGCTCGAAAGTAAAAGCCCCGCCGCGGCCCGCGCCTCGCTGGAGGCGGCTAGGCTTCTCAACGGCGCGCCCGTCGCTCTGTCGCGCTCGCACTCATGGGGCGTTCGGAAGAGGTGCGAGAGAGACAGAGCGACGGAGCACTGCGGAACACTGTGCGGGCGGAATCAGTCTATGGAGGCTGGCCCCGCTGGCCGCGCCATTCCCAGATGCAGCCGAAGCGATGGGATAGGAAGTGGGGCTTGGCGGTGAGACAAAGCGCGCGAACAGTGTACCGGCGTATGACGCACACTCGGAGCGCCACGTCACTACTAATGAGCCAAAGCCAAAGCCCCGCGAGCCGCGCTGGTGGAGGTGTCGGAGGGGTGAGTGCGCGGGGGTGGCGGCGCGCGGCGCGGGTAGCGACCCCGTTCGCGTGCAGAACTGGATTGGACGTCCGGCCGGGGCGGCGCAGGGGCGGCGCAGGGGCGGCGCAGGGGACGGGGGTGAGTCATACATTAATATTCGCATCGCGATAGCGCGCGCTGTCGCGGTCTGTCCTCGGTCGCCACTGCCCCCTCCCCTTTCTCTCGGGCCACCGCGTACATCCGCGCCGGATGACGAGGTGGAAGCTTGTTCTTGTTTTGCTCCGCAGACTCATTCCGAAAGTCGTTTTCGTCGCTCTGTCTCTCTCGCACACATATGACACGCCCCATGAGTGCAAGAGAGACAGCGACGAAAACGACTCTCGGAATGAGTCTGCTGGGTTCGCAGCGACACGCGTTGACGCGCAGCTCGGGCCTTCCCTTCCCTTCCCTTTCCGCGAGCGGACTAGGCAGACTAGACTCGGCGGCCGCGTCGCCGCGTCATACGATGGATGACACACACGCCGCCCTCCCGCCGTGTACACTGGTAGTACACCGTCACGCTGCGCGCCGTGCATCGTGCTTTCTCGCCGTGCTGCAGACTCGCCCTGTCTCCCTCGCACTCGTGAGGCGTGGCGTGGGGATGTGACAGAGACAGGACGGCGAAACACGACCGCAGGACACCTGCTTACACCCGCGTGCGGGTTGGGGACGATCCCCGACGATCCGCCTCGCCCGAAGGCTGATTCCGAACGCCACTCTCCGTCACTCTCGCACCCCTAATGAAACCCTGTGAGTGCGAGAATGAGGGGCACACAGCGACGAGAGCACGCCCTGCTGGAAATAGAAGGGGTTCAGTGGAGGTCCGCGCTGCGGCACGCGTGCCCCCCCCCCCCAATCTCCTCGCACACCATCGAACGCGCCGAATTTAGAACGTTTACGAATACAGCGGACGCAGGATTATGACCACCGCCGCGGTGGTGTCGGATGGGTTGCCTACCCGCCCGCGCCTCGCCGTGCTTCGTTCGCGAAGCGCGAAGACACGATGAGGCCACGTCGATAAAGGCGAGCATGCTGGTATCTTTTACGATTCTATTATCGGAACCACCAGCGAAACCGCTGCATGTCAATAAAATGGCGCTTCGCGGAGCGTCGCGTGTTGCGAGAGTTTGGCGGCAGTGTTCACAGGGGGCGCTGCGCTGGCGCTGCGATGCCTCGCCCTGGGTCGCCTTCCGGCGGGAAGCGAAGGCAAGTGCGAAAAGGAGAAACCCATTCATAGCGCTGCGCTGTGCCACTGCGCGTGCGCGCGAACCCCAGCCGAGCGACGCCGATCAACACCGTCTCTCTCGCACCCTGACGGGACGCCGCGTGAGTGCGACGGAGACAGAGCGACGAAACGACTCCTCGGAATCAGTCCGCAGCGCTACGCACACACACAATGTTTGCACACCAACATGCAGCAGCTCGGTTTGGCGTTCGCGCGGTTGGCGCGCGTGGCGGCGAGGCGGCGCGGTCGGGCCGCACAGCGGTCGGCACAGCGCGCGTCCTCCAGCATGACGTCACAGCCCGGCTGTCGTCTGCTAGCTGCTAGCGGCGCGGGCTGGGCGGCGTTCGGCTCGGCTCGGCTCGGCCCGTCAGTGCTCCCGCGTAGCCCGTCCGTGCCGGTACTCCCTCTCTCTCTTCGCGGCCCTCTCGCCGACCCGCTCACACACGCCGCGTTGCGCGGCACACACTGACAAGGGCGTCGAGCAGGACGAACACACGAAGACCGCCATGGCGGACCAGGAACTGAGCAACGTGCTGCAGCGGCGGCAGTCCATCAACGACGCCCTGGAGGAGGGCAAGGAGGTCAAGCCCAAGCTCAAAGTGAACGTGTTCGCCGAGTTCTCCCGGCAGGAGCTGCGCCAGTTCGAGACGACGTTCAAGAAGTGAGTACAGTGGCGGCCATTGTGTGCGTGTTGACAGTTTGACAGCGCTGTCATCGCCGTGCCAGCCGTGCCGCCGTCGGGGTGACGGACGCGAGGGTTGACCTGACCTGTCAACAGCGTCGCCGTGGAGGCGGACAAGGCCTCCTTGTGCTGCATCGCCATACTCGCAGGAACATCTATTTTTGTACTCCAAACTTGAAAACAAATTCTCTCGTCGTACAAGTTTTTTTCGCGCTCATTTTGCTGGGGGTGGATGGCGTCGACTTTGCTCTGGAGCCTCCGCAACAGGCATCGTCGCGGTGGGGCCGAGGGGTGGCACGGCGGCACGGCGGCACGGCGCAACGCGCAGCCAGGACCAGAGTCATGTCGCTGCGTCGCTGCCGTAATACGCGTCGCGTGTCTGTCGTCTGTCGTGTCAGGGCGGACGGACGGTCGGGTCGGCGTCGCGACGCAGGCTAGTGGTTAGCGGCAGTGTCGACGGTCGCACGTAATCCAGTGCGCCCCAGCGCCGCGACGCACTAAAAACAACAAAATGGGAGCGGCGAAAAAATGACGAGGGGAAGTCCGTATTAGAGTAAATGGGCGAGGATGCTGTGTGTGTGCGTGTGTGTAATTGGCGCGCCATGTTGGCACGATTGAATTCCTCGTCGGCGGCAGATGTTTTGTCGTGCTGTCTCCGTCGCGCTCATGGGGCTTCCCCAAGGGGTGCGAGAGAGACGGAGCGCCGAGCAGAGTCTCCGGCCAGAATGGCGCTGCTGGCGTGCGGCGCAGTGCGGCGACGGGCAGCGCGATGACCCCTGTATGTAAATTGGAATTGCACGCGTCACAGACGGTCGTAATATGAAGGGGCAGCAAAAACGGAAAGCGTTGGGTAAAGGATATTGGCGCTGGCAAAAGGATGGAGTAAAACAAGAAAGAAGCGGCCGGAATCCTCCTGTCGCGGAGTGGCTTTGCTTGTTGGCGCGTGACGCCGACTGCGCAGTAAATTTGTCGTCCGAACGACGCTGGACGTTTGATTCTACAAAGTAAGCGTGAGTGGGAAGCCACGCCAAACTGCCGCAAACTGCTGGGAAACAAAGTCTCTTTCCCGACGAGGCGCGTGAGAGACACGTCTAGTTTTCGACTGGCGGGCAGGGTCGCTAGTCACCCCTGTAACCTTGTCTCCTTGGCCCCCCCAGCCCAGCCCCCGGACCACACCCCCAGAAGCTGCTCCCCGCCGGCCGGTGGGAGGGGTCCGGTCGATGGCGGCACAGCGCGGCGCAGCGCCACATCCCTTGTTGAGGTTAGGGCTGCTCTGTGACGCGCGGCGCGTGGCGCGGGTTCGAGTCCCGCCGACGGCCGCCACTTTTCCGTCCCCCCGCCTCCGCTCGCAGCAGCTCGCGGTGTCGGAAGACAAGGCGTAGAAAGCTGTCGGGAAGGGCTCGGGGTGACTTCCGCGGGCTAGGGTGTCCTGATGAGTAACGTGATCTTTCACCTGGAAAGCGAAGCGCTCCTCGCGCCGCACGTACACGACACTGCTTGCTCCGGTTCGGAGTTGCGCACACGGGCCGAATGTGGTCTGGTCTTGTGCAGGGACAGGTAGGCGCGGCCCGCGTGGCCCCGTGCCCCAAACCTAGAGCAGGCCAAGCAGGCCGCGCGGGTCGCGGTGCATTATGCGTGGACGTGCCGCGCCAGCAGCGGGCCAGATTCCCCCTCCCCCTTGCCTCCTCGACGCACCTTCATTGCCGTGAGCCGCGCGCGGTCTCCTGTCAAAATGAAAACGAAATGCACGCGAACCACGCCGTGGTGGTGTTGTACCGATGTCTGAGTCACGACGGAGGGCCTGTGTGTGTGTTTGTGTGAGAGTGTGTGCGCGCGGGGGGGATTGTGCAAGTCTGATTCGCGGACGCCACGCCACGCCGCGCCTCGGTTTTTGTTTTCATTCATTGCCGACCCACTTGAGGCGCGGCTCTGCTGGAGTCCACCCTGAATCGGCCCGCATGGTGTGACAGTGTTGTTAAGTAGCTGTGCCCGCCGCCAGGCTGCGCGCCCCGCCCCGCCCCGCCCCGCCCCGCCCCGCCCCGCCATCGGTGACACACACTGCTCAGCTCAGTGCACGCAATCGGATCTGCGCGTACGGACTGACTGGGAAAGCCAATCCTGCAGGCTTGGTTCCGAACAGCGCCGTCGCTCTCTCTCTCTCTCTCTCTCGCACTCATGGGGCGTGCCGTGACGGTGCGAGAGAGACAGAGCGCTGGGTGCGGTGTCGCGCGGGGCGCGCCCTCGTGTCGTCGCGATGCTTATCGCGCGGTCTCACGCCCCCGCCCCCGCCCCGCCCCGCCCCGCCGCGGCGCGCCGACACTCCTTGACGGGTATCGATTCGCCATAATGAAACTGCCTCGCGGTCTTCCCGCGCCTTGGCTGCGCCTCGCGCCTCGCCAAATGAAATGGAGATCGGTGAGAAGAATCGGTCGGATTCCCGCGCGTCTCTCCGCTCGCTCGATTTTCCATTTTCCGTCCGAGGCTGACTGACTGACTTCCGTCGGTAAGCAGCCGAGGCGGCCAAGGCAGCCGGCAGCGCGACCGCGGCGTGTGAAAATGATTCCGCGCCCGCCAGTCTGGAGTAATTACGTCGGGCTGGCTGCGAAACATGCCGCGTCTCTCTCGCACTCGCTGGCCGTCGGCGCCGTCGGCGGGGGCGCGAGAGAGACGGAGCGATGTTTGGAGTGCGGCCGCGGCGCGTCCTTTCCCCGGAGCCTAGAGCAGTGCGAACGGCGCGGCGGCGGTTAGCGTGCCGGGCCGAGCCGGGCCGTGCCGTGCCGTGCCGGGCTTGTTGGCGGCCGTGTCGTGGCGCGTCCTCGCCGTCCTGGCCACGCGGCGTGCGCGAGGCGCTGTGTGCTTCTTGTCTAATCTGATTGCACGCGTCGCCCGGAAGTCCCGCCCAAATCATCTTCCGTCCCGAGAAAAGGAGCCCGACACAGGATTTCCCTAACAGCCTAGGCCCCCTTCGCGCGACAGGCGCGGCGGGCGCTACGCGACGCGATGACGCGCGCTCCGCCGAAGGTGCAACTTGTCTTATCTGCGCGTTTGTTCTCGATTCGCTTTCGCTTCTTTCGGCTGAATTGATAAGCAGTTTGGGAGTGAGTCGCGCGTTTCTGCAGGGCAGTCCTTGGTTGCGCTGTCTCTGTCGCGCTGCGGGGCGGCCCAGGGGTGCGAGAGAGAGACCGCTTGTCCCTGGACTCCCCCCCCCCCCCCTCGATCGATGATGTTCCAACGTCGTACCCTTGGGCGGTCGTGGCGTCCAAATCTCGTCAAACAATAACCCCGCCTTGCCTTGCGCCGCTCGTCTCGGCTGCCCCATTACCTCGAGCCCCAGAGAGAGACATGCAGGCCGTGGTCCTGGAGGTCCTGGGCGCCGAGGCAGAGGCTGGGCAGGTGGCGGCTGGCGGCGCGCTGTGCCGCTGGGTGAAGGTCACCACGCCACTCAGACACTGATCAATACCGCCCGCCCCCTTCCCGCGGCCCAAAGTGGTTTCGATTTCCAAGCGGGTGATCGCGCGATCGAGTACGCACTCCATGGCGTGCTCGGCGCTGCTTCGCGCTTCGCGCCGACGGGGACTCGAACCGCGGCCCGGCCGCAGCCTCGCGCGCGCCCACGCGTTGAATGGCGGAGATTTGATACGTCGATTCGCCAGTCTAACCGCTGCGCGCGCCGCCCAGCGCTATCGGCCTGCCCCGTTTCCATACAGAGTTGCAGTGGCGCGGCGGCGCGGCCCTATCGGTCTCCCTACACTGAACATGTGTGCTTGCAGCGCGCGCCGTGCTGTGCTGTGCGCGGCTGTGCGTGTTTGCGTTGCCGGCAATGCCGGCTGCCGGGGGCTTTTCTGGACTGGCCTGGCCGCCGATTAGAGTAAGAAAGAGGCCGGCGCTATCTTTGTCGCTGAGTGGACGCGAGTGTGCTGGTACACTGGCTGGCGCTAGCTGGCGCTCGCCACCTGCCGGCCGGCCGAACTGCCGCCGCCCCGCCCACGCCGCGCGGACTGCCCCGGCGGCCCCAGCCCGCGGGCCGCTTCCACGAAGGCTGGAGGGCCCGGCGCGGCCGGCCCGCGGGCGGACTGACGGCCAGACGCCCCGTGCGTAGAAAAAAGATGACATTCCTCCCTTGCGCGCTTGCGAGCTTTCTCCGCGGCTGCGGCGGAATATTGCAGTGCGGTGGACTACCGAGTGTCCACGCGGCGGGGGGCGTTGTGGGCGGCGAGGCTCGTCTGCTGGCTCCGTTTTTGCGCAAGGCGCTGGATAACGCTGGGCCGGACCGCCGCAAAGGGCACCCTCGGCCTGGCCTTTCGCTTTCGCCCTTTCGCCCCCCCCCCCCCCCGGATCGGTTTGCATGTGCCGCCATGCGTCCCCCGCCGCACCTGACTGCACCCGACTGCACCCGCGGGCAGCGCTCCGGAAAGCGACCGCATCTCTTCTCGTTCACGCGAGCAGTGTGCCTGCCCTCTGCCCGTCGACGAGGCAGGCCCGCGTCGCCGGCGTGCCGGCCTCTGAATCGCATTAGCGGCCGGGACGCCCCGTGAGTGCGAGAGAGAGGGAGGGGTGGTGCACCACTGTGCGTCCTTTGGGCGGGGCCGGCGGAACTGGGCCGCCGAAGGCCGGTAAAGGCCGCCGCTTGCCTTGCCGTGCTTCGCCATGCACCGCCGCGCTGCCTCGGCTGCCCGTTCTGAAAACACGCGGCGCCTTTACTTCGCATCTTCGCCGATGCGGCCGACGCGATGCCGTGGCTGCCTTTCGCGCGAGCCAGCCAGCAACACAACAAACAAGGCGCTCTTGGAAGCGGCCGCTTGGCTTTGGCCGCGCTTTGCCTGGCTTCGCCTCGCCGCGCCGCGCTTGGCCGCGCGCGCTTTTACGATATCTTTGGGGGAACGAACCTCGGCACGCTGCACTCCGCAGCAGCTGTAGCGGCGAGACCGGGCGAGACGCATCCGGTGCATGCCGTGCGCGCCCCGGCTTCCGGGGGCACC